CATGAATTTTTTTTTAAGTCACATCTTCAAAAAATTTACAACTACTCTGAAAAAACATTCGCTAGCTAGCAAGAGCCAAAAGGAGAAGTATCGGTGTCCCTCCTGTTCTTATTACAGAATTGAACATATATGTTTATCAAAATAAATAATAAATGTAGATAAGTGAGGCCTCACATAGTAGGTGGGGACACACTCATAGAATAAAATAAAATAAAATAAAATAAAATAAAATATAGGGCTTGCTTGATATGATAAATGGGTGGGATGAATATGGATATGGAAATAAAATTTAAAAAAAGTGATTGTTTGATATGATGGAATTGAAAAATTTCATCAAAATTGGTGGAATTAGCTTCAGTGATAAAAGTTTTAAGCTTGGTTTTTCAACGTCATGCTCCATCTTTCATTTTTTACCCCTTCCTCTCATATCGTATAACATTCTGAAGTTTCTAATGCAAACTAATTTCTCGATTGAAGGTATAATTAGTAAATAAGTGAATTATTTTGATCAATCATGATTTGAATAACAAACTAGTGTTTCAAACAATTAGATAACTTCCAAATAGGACTGGGAAGGAATTGGAAGCAATTTAAGATTAGATTGGGAGATAAATGGTGATGGCATATTATCTGTGCGATGCACTGCAGTGCATGACACTTAAGTTAGAATAATAAGTCATGGATCAGGTGGAAAATTAGAAGGGAAACATTGAGAAAATAGGGAGCACATGAGGAAAAGAGAAGGGCTATACTAGGGTTTGGTGTACTGGGATATCGAAAGCAATTTTCAGACTATTGCGTGTCTAATTTCACTAAATCTCTCCTCTCTCCTCTCTAATTCTACATCATGGATTTCAAGGGTTTAGAGAAAGAGAAAGATGTGATATGTCTTGGAAAAACTAGGAATCTATACTTCATATGTTGGTTGTGGTTCCAAAAGCTTGGTTTAAGTTTTTTGGATCAGGACCAAGTGGTTATAGGAAGAGGAAGTGAGGAGTGGAGAAATTGAATTAATTTGTGGCTTAATTTTTAGAGTTTGAGTCTTGTTTAAGAAGTTTATGTTGTGATTATGCTAAGTAGGGATTAAAGGTGATGTTGTGAGCTAGATGTAACTTGGACTAACTCAACTAAGAGGATTATAGGTTAAGAATGATGAAATTGGGGTAAATTTCAGTTAAAATGTATAACATCTTAAAAATTTAAGATTTGATTAAGTAAAGTGGAGTAATTGAGTTAATTAATGTGATGTGTGGTTAGAGAAGACTAACAAATATGTTTGAATGTGATTTCAACCCTAAATTTAAGTCTAAATAAAGTCTACCCACTCAAGTATTAAAAAAGTGAAAAAAATTTGAAGGGTATGTCTCTGTGTCACATGCCAAATAATAGATTACTCAACCAAAATTAGCAGCATCAAATTAAGACCTCATAAGTTTATGCACTCTAACTCTATCTTGTTGCTTAAGTAATCTCCTATAAATTGTTATAGATTTTGATTTTAATATAATGGTATGAGTGACATATAAAATAGCTTTACTATTATATTTAATTTTTTTTAAATAAGTTCTTTTTTTAATTCTTGTGTTCATAATATTGATATTTCTCAATCCCAATTTCAAGTAGAGAGTGTTCACAAATGATTCTCACTAACAGAATGCTCAATCAAAAATTAATATGTCGTTAATTGAGAGAAATATTTACAACCAATCCAACCTTTACTCCATCTGTCATGCCCCATAAATAGAGGGTGATCGGCAAGGGTGTGAACCTCTCACACATTTCTGTAAGCCCAGAATGAACATTTATTCCATTTTACAAAAGAAAAGAACAAAATTTAATCAAATCACATGATAATTAAAATGACTCCTTTAAACTCATTATCATAAGAAAGTGTCGACATTTTTGTAGAAATTTCAATAGAACCTCCCTTGTAACTAAGATCTCTCAAAAATTTTACAAACAAATTTTTTTTACAGATAATAGTTTAAATAAGGAGCATAGCTCCTTTCAGCCAGCAACCCATATACAAACCAAAACATAGTATATCAACAATCTATGTGGAGCATCTAATCTTTCTTTTAAATCAAAAAGACATATGAACTATATATTTACATTAAAAGAAACAATACCAATCCAAAACTTTCACCCAGTATAGCTATTCTGTCCTTTTGAGGTCGATAGTGGGATTGGTGTCAGCTAACAAATCTAAGGCTAAAATAATTTTTTCAGTGAATAGCATTCCCATGATAAAATTCTTAAAATTTAAATCAATAAACTCTAATATTAGTGTCAACTAATTCAAAGTAATTGCACAAAAAAAATTTATAAGCCTATAAGTCATAATCATATTTGTAAAATAAAAGTAAATTGAAACAAATTATATTATCATGCTTAAAGAAAATAATCTACTCACATATAACTCAAGTGGTACAAATTACTAGCCAAAACTATGTAAGTTTCGAAAACGCATATTAATCAACATTTAAACTTTTGAGAACTCAACAGAACAGGTTAGAAACGTGGACATACCAGTCCACTAGGGTAAATAACCAAACGTAGCTTATGCCATGAAAATGAATGTGGACACACCAGTTTACGAGGGTAAGTAACCAAATGCAGTTGAAGCTACGAAACAAGCGTGGATACACAGTCCACAAGGGTAAGTAACCAAATGTAGCTTAGGCCACGGAATTAAATGAGGGTATAAAGCCCACAAATATCAAACGTGAGAATAAAGCTCACAAAACAAACTAGCTAGTGTTTAACCACAGCGCGCTATGGGCTAACGGAATTGTCGTTAGCAGCAGTGTTTTGTTTCAAGTTCTCTTAAAATCACGCTTCAAACATGCAAAAAAAATAATTATCATTGAAATAAATTATCATTATTACTACCAAACTTGCATGAACTGTTTCAAATCTTAATATTTGTCAAAATCATAAACTTGGATTAACTAAGTATCCAATAAATTTTAAAGTTTGACAACTATACAAGAATGCTTTCATCAATCTTGAAAATATATTTTCAAGAATCAATAAATGCACATATCATAACTCATTTGCCCTTCATTGATATTTCATAATTTTTGAAATTAATATAATTCATAAGAATAAAATATTTCAAGAAAAGGCTATTAAAAAAAAAATAAATTAAATAAAATGCTATTCACCTACTGGTTAGAACTTCAAATTCTCAAGGATATTCTTTCTTTTAATTTTGATTAGGGTCATGTTCTTCCTCACCCCCTATCAGGATATAAATAAAAAAAAATAATTTCATAGATTCCCAATCTTTAGTACAATTCCAAATTAACCATCCTCATCTAAAGTTTAAAGCCAAATTTATGATTTAAAATTGGTCCAAGTATTATCACTAATTCAATCACTTTCCTTGGTTATACAACTACAATATCCATTTAATTTAAAATACTCCTTTTTATGTATGCACATGTAATCACAAGGAAGGATGAATTTCTAAAATTTCAACCCTCAACCCACATTTAACATATATTGTCACTAAGTTTAGATAAGTTTCTTGCTTAAATTTTTGTCTTCTCCTCTCTACGTAACAGTATAGGCGACAACAGAAAAATCTAAACATATATTCTCTGCACAGCAACAGAAGCCTACGTTCACAACCCAGCAAAATTAATGATACAAGGATTGAAACTTGAAAATCCCTCACCTTATCAACACCACATACTAAGAGAAAAGAAAATAGGGATGTTGGGTTTATGGTTGAATAGGGGAGAAGACAAACAACACTGTCACTATGCACAGTAGAGGAAGGAAGCTTGACTCCACAGTACCAATACTAGCTCACCACAATAGCCCCACCCCAGTTTCGATGCTTTATGCTTTCTTGGCTTAGAACAACACAGATGGTGCAGCAGAGAGGGAAAAAATAGAAACAGGAAGCATGGACTAGTGAAGCAACCCACGAAGCTCACGGTTGAGTTGGAAAAGGAAGAACTTACGAGTAGAATCCTCTAGCTCCAATGACATGGTCCTTTACTCCAATTGCCACTTGAACGTGAATAGCACAGGGAAGCAACAGACTGGAAAAGAGAAAAAACAAAGTCTACATGCATGAAGGAGCGTCTAAACGTCACTGAGTAATGGTGAGCCTTCTCCGTCGTCGGTGATAGCCAAGAGTAAAGAGGGGAGAGATAGTCGGTTATGGTAGAAGATTGGAGAGCAATATTGAACAGTCTCAAACTCTCTCTCTGTGTGTATGTGCATCGACCGGATAAGAAGAAGTGAAAGAGAATTTATCAAATGAGAAGGAGGGCAGGATGGTAATTTCATATAGACAAAAGAAATAAAAACTTCTCCCTAGCATTGGTTCAAACTTGAGACTTGATATTTACAAGACCAATATCGCCTCCACTGAACCAACACTTCTCCTTACTAAACATGTTTTTAATTAATATAACTACTATTAAACGCCAACTTATAAATATATACTTATACTTATACTTATTATTATTATTATTATTATTATTATTATTTTTTTTTTCTTGGCTACTGCACCATCGCTCCTTGGGTGGATGATACAATGCAAACATAATAATACAACTTTGAATAAAAACACACTCTAATTTGGTTACTTCTTTTCATAATTAATCACTGAAAAATTGTTATTCTGGTTTTGATACAATAAAAATACAACTTTAATAATATGTTTGGTTGGAAGGAAATGGAGGTGAGATGAAAAAAGAAGTGGAGATTTTAATGATTTGATTTTAAATGAATAAGAGAGGCGGGGTTAAAAGATTTTAATTAATTTTCCATACTCTTTTATCTTACATCTTTTTTTTTTTTATTAAAATTTTCTAACTCCACTTATCCATTTCTTTTAAATGGAATTTGTTAAGATTCCCCCCTCTCCCTCCAACCAATTTGATCGTATTGACGAAATGCAAGAAAATTGGCACATGACTTCACAAATCATAATTGGTCGTTATTCAAAACTGATGGCTTCCCTAATGGGAAGCTTTCGGAAATTAAAGCAAAAAGTCAAAAACACATGGATGGAAAAACACTAAATCATTGTGGAAAAAGAAAACACCCACGTAATTTTCTTTGATTTCTTCGACTCCATAAACATCTTATGCTCTGAAAAGATTGAGCAGAATATTTTTCAGGAGAAGATGCAACGTCTCACTATGTTGGTGGTTTCAGTTTTCTTACTCTTGATACCCCTTGCCTTTTCCGTAAGCTTTATCAACACCAGTTTCGTGGATGACATAATAAATTATGAAAAACTTTCTGGCCCTGTAGGAACATACATCGACTTGGTAAGATCCAACGACACTGTCGGTCGAGCTACATGTAGCCAACCGATGCACTTGTGGGACAAAGCCACCGGCAAACTCGCAAATTTCAACACCAATTTCACCTTTGTGATTGATTCACAGGGCAGCTATGATTATGGAGATGGGATGGCCTTCTTTTTAGCCCCTACTGGTTCAGTGCTTCCTAATATTGTAAAAGTTGGAGGAGGTGCTATGGGTCTGATTATTGGTGGTCCAGAAACGATTTTTAACTCAACAGATTATCCATTTGTTGCTGTGGAATTTGATATCTATTCCAATTGGGACCCTAATGTCAATGAAGGCTGGGATCCTCGGTATCAACATGTGGGTGTCGATATCAATTCCATTAATTCTACTGTCACCGTGCCATGGTCGGCTAATATCCCAGGAGGGGGCACAAATGAAGCTTTCATCAGCTACAATTCAAGTACACGTAATTTAAGCATCTCAGTCTCTAGTGTTATAGACAACACCAAGAAGATGCAACAGCTTCATCAGATAGTTGACCTACGAGAGTACCTGCCTGAATGGGTGACTTTTGGTTTCTCAGCTGCCACAGGATCTTCTTTTGCAGCACACAGGATCAGCAGATGGAGTGTCTACTCAGAGGAGCTCCCAAATATTGCTCCCAATCCAAGTCGAAATGCCACAGCACTTGCAATTGGGTTAGGGGTTGGAGGGTTTGTTTTAGTTTGTGGGGTGGTATTGTTTGTCTTGTGGAAGAACAAAAAGAAAATGGAAGACGATGATGAGTCTAATGAGAACATGAGTGATGATGACTTTGAAAGAGGAACAGGACCCAAAAAATACTCATATGCTGAGCTAGCAAGTGCCGCAAATTATTTCAAAGATGAGCACAAGCTTGGACAGGGAGGATTTGGTGGTGTCTATAGAGGATTTCTCAAAGATTCAAACTCCCATGTTGCCATAAAGAGAATATCAGAGGGTTCTAAGCAAGGGAAGAAGGAGTTTGCTTCAGAAGTAAGTATTATCAGTCAACTTAGGCATCGAAACTTGGTGCAACTAATCGGTTGGTGTCATGAAAGGAAAGAACTGTTGCTGGTTTATGAGTATATGCCAAATGGAAGTTTAGATTCACATCTCTTCAAGGACCAGAGGTTGTTGACATGGTCAGTCAGATTCAAAATAGCTCAAGGCTTGGCCTCTGCATTATTGTACCTGCATGAAGAATGGGAACAGTGTGTGGTTCATCGAGATATAAAATCAAGCAACATCATGCTGGACTCCAACTTCAATGCAAAACTTGGAGATTTCGGATTAGCAAGACTTGTAGACCATGCAAAAGGTGCACAAACTACAGCTCTGGCAGGAACTATGGGCTATATGGCTCCTGAATCTGTCACAACTGGGAGGGCTAGTAAAGAAACTGATGTATACAGTTTTGGAGTTGTTGCTTTGGAGATAGCTTGTGGAAGAACACCGATCAACCGTGAGGCTCCAGAAAATGAAATAAACATAGTCAAATGGGTATGGGATCTCTATGGAAGGGGGAGAATTCTCGAAGCAGTTGATTCAAGACTAGAAGGAGATTTTGACCAGGATCAAATCCAATGCCTAATGATTGTTGCGCTGTGTTGTGCTCATCCTGATCATACTCGTAGGCTTTCAATAAGGCAAGCCATTCATGTGCTTAACTTTGAAACTCCTTTTCCTAGTCTTCCTTCAAGTTATCCCATACTAACGTATAATGAATTTCCAGCATCATTTTCTATTCTGTCCAGCACCAATGCTTCAGAGGTAAGTCAAAACCAGAATATGAGCTTTAGTTCCAATACAAACTCTTATGGTTTCACTTCAACTTCTGGTGATGATGTTTCACCAAGTGTGTCACTTATGTACTCACGCAAAAACTAATTATAGTTATTGTATTGTATGTTTGAGGTTCCTGCACAATATTCGTAATGTATTATTCTCATTTCTTATATATATGCATGTTACAGTAATCTAGAACGATAAAACATAAGTTGAGAACATTCAATGATCTTGTTGGATTTTTACCTTGAGATTCTATATTGTTTCTTTTTTGTTAAAGAGGAGCTTCAGCTGTTCAGGAAACTTTAGGTTTTTTGGTTATGACATGCCTTTTCTTATTTTGTAAGAAACCGACACATTATGTTATAGTATTGTCCATTTGTGTTCAAGAGAGGCTTATGAAAAGTGAGAACAATGACCAACACTAGCAACAATATTATGGATACAATATATATATATATATATATCTCACAAAGTCTAAAGTAGCCGTGCCTAACTCTAAGTGGCAGTTGTATGTAGGGTCATCTCTCATTTCTAGATATAATAAATATTTTTTTAAAAAAATTGATAGCCTTTTTTATAATTTAATGATACTATCATTTAATGGAAAACAATTTAAAAAGATATCATACATATTTCTTAAAAATTAATGTTTTTCCTATATTAAAATGCGAAAGCAGCATATATGATTATTTTCAGGCGAGAGCTTGGCTTCGTTGCATGCAATAACACTCATTCTCGTCATATAGTTCTCAGTCGCGCATGCAGACGGAAACTTCCTCTGTTTTTGGATGCAAAAACAGAGTATGCTGACTTCGGTTTTCATGGACTGCAACTTTAGTTTTAGTTTGTTGTATTTGTGTTCTGCTTTTCTGGGCTCTTTTTGGACTGTCTGCCTGTTTTTGTTTGTAGCTACACAAGTTGGGCCTCCAGAAGTTAATCCAAGGGGCCTCCAGATGTTGACTTTGTTTTTAAAAAAAAGAAGCTTTCGATTTTGGCCCAAAAAAATAGGAAGCTTTTGAGGCCATGTTGTGTATTAATTAAAGAATGTTGTAACAAAATAAAAAACGGAAAAGAATACCATATATGTTTATAATATTTTTAAATATATAATCATCTCACGCTTTTTTAAAAAATAAATTAAGTGTAATAATTATATTTAAAATTTAAAAAATTGGACTGAATTATTCTTATAATTGATGAAACAAATTTATCTTGTGAAAGTAAACATTAGTTTTATGAGAGACACATAAAAAAAATTGATAAATGATCCTTAAAATTTAAAATTTTTCTTATAAAAAACAATGAGACATGCATATGACAATTTTTATAATAAAAAATGGAGTGAGTATTTGGTACATGAAAATATATTTTAACAACGACCAAGGTAGTCAGGTAAAAAAATGAAATATGTGTATTTTGTATTTTCTTTTTTTAAAATTATTTTTTACTTATTAAAATTAAATTTTGAGAATATATTATCCAAGGACCCCTGTAGTGTTTTAATAATATCAAAGAATGATCCTAAAAATCTGAAATATTGCTGCACCTCCTGACACATAAATGAGAATAAGATTTTGGAAGAAAAGACCTAATTACCCCTTAACATTTTACAAGTCTTGCTCTAATATAAATAATAGAACATTTGGCTATTGATAAGTTACTGTATGTAATTAACCTGTGAACATTAGTTTATGAATAAATTACCAAAACTTATAAGCCTGGTTTATTGTTTATACCAGAGTAAGACTTGTAAAATTAAACTAGGTTTATTAGTTTTGGTAACTTATCATGAACAAGTCGAATGCTTTATTATTTATGTCAGAGCAAGACTTGTAAAATGTTACAAGGTAATTAGATCTTTTCTAATCTCCTAAAATCTTTATATATATATATATATATAGGTCTCATGGGTGCAGTGATACTTTAGTTTTTTAAAAGTCTTTCTTTGCTATTAAAACACTATAGGGGTCCTTAGATGATGTTTTCCCTTAAATTTTTTATCTTATGTTTGCTTTCGGATTGTATCAAAAGAGGGTTGTGAAGTGATCAAAATACTATATAGGCTCTGGAATCGAATTCGTGTGGAAATCAAACATCACTATTTGCATTCAACCCAAGGCCCTGGTGGTTCCGATCCAAGTGTGAATGCAATAAAATTGACAGTCGTCTAAGAAAATTACTCACCAGATTCAAAGCAATTGTGTACTCGCTGGTCTTAAAATTGATGATGACTTGATAGGCTTAGAATTTAGGAAAGACATTTAGAATTATAATTAGTTTTTCTTCTTACTAGTATTTTTTGAACACGAAAAGAAATACAATATGTTTGGAATTTTATGTTTCTGATCTGATGAGCATACTATTGCTACGGGCAATCATGGAGGTGGCAATTGCACCCATGAAGTTTACAAGAAATTACATTTCTTTTTTTAAACAAAATTACACTTGCCTCACCTTAAAATTATCGTTGCCCTCATCTTAAAAAAAATCAATTATTCCACATTCTCTTTAAAATTATTAAGCATACATATTTAAAAATATTGTTGATTCTTGTATTTATTATAAAAATAAATTAAAGATATAAATGAAATTTACATATATTTTAAAACTTATCATATCATTTATTTATATATTATTTTAATTAATACTTAGAATTATATTTTAAAAAATATTAATATTTATGTTTGGTATAAATACTTTCCCATTATTAAAATTTTCTGGATCCGTTACTACTGGCAAATTTTTTCTGTGGATCTCAAAAACTTCTCCTGGCCAAAAGAAGCTAGTTGTAACTTCTAATCCTGAGATTAAAACCTTATAATTTGTATTAACATTTTTTGTGCTAGCTAGATTAATACTTGCTAATGTCATAGGAGGATAAATTGTTTGACAGTAAATAAATTACATGTTTTATCCCTTCTAATAGAATGCAGGTCTGCGTCCAATAAGTTTTCTGTTTTCCCCCCAATGAAGTACAATTGTAAAACATGTAATTTTCTTTATTTCTATTACATATATCGTTTTGTGCCGTTTGAATTTCGAGGCTTGATTCCTGGATATTATATTGATCTGGTGCCCAGATACCTCTACGGCGACGAAGCTCATAGAATACATCGCAGACACATGAAGTCAAGAAGTCATAGTGAAGGAATTTTAAATCGGCACTCGGCAGCTTCAATCGTAACCAAAATAATTGTTACGGTTTGATAGCTGGAACCTATAGGAAGAGAATGAATTAAAAAAAAGTTAAAGGTCATTTTTATCTTTGAACTATACATGAAAGGTTATAAGTGCTCATAAATTCAATTATGGGTCAATTCTATCTTTCAACTTTAAAGATTCTCTTCATCATCACTCTGACATTAAAAACACTCAACGTCCATTAGTTATCAATGGGTTTCACTATTTTTTTAATATTTTTTATTAGGTTAAGGGTCATTCTTGCCCCTCAACTCAAATATTTTATAATAAAAAATATTAAAAAATTATAATATGGGGCTCATTAATGGTCAACTAATTATGAGAAAATGGTAAGGTGATGAGAAAGGAAATTTTTAAAGTTGAGAGATGGAATTGATCTATAGTTGAGCTTAAGACATTTGTGACCTTTCATTACAGTTTAGAAACAAAAATAACTCTTAATTCATTAAATTAAAATAAGAGAATAAAAATAAACTAAATTATCCAATATATCCTTCATGGTAAACATATGAAAAAATCTAATACTACATACTCTAAATGTGAGAATCATGACCTTAACTTATTATTCTCTCCCCCGTGACTATGATTGACTTATCTTTTCACTACATTTGAATCGTTGTTTGTCTTTTCAGTATGCAAAACACGAAGAAAACTTATATACTTCATTTTATATATTTAATTAAGTCATTTGTTTCTAATTAAATTAAGGCATGTGAATCCTTTATATATTATTTATTTTATAACAGGTTCTTGATATTAATATTATTAACACATTAAAATTCACCTATTTTGATTTGATTGAATAAAAATATATTAAGTATATAAGACTTACCTAAGTCTTGCCCTTATTTAAACTAAAAGTAATAAATGGTTAGGAAAATGACACATTATTAGATGAATAATCTTTAGATTATAGATTTTAATTTCACTAAGTAAAATGATGATAATTTTATGTTTTAGGATAGTATTGTTTAAGTTTCTGAGGAGGAATATATACATGTTATATGTTGTTGAGTGATATGCCAAATGTGTAAATAAAGTTATGGACCGAACTTGATTCTTAGACTCACAGGAAATGCACGCTGAGAGGATGAGGATGAAGAAAACTGAGAGAGTGAGTTATTGACTTCTGTTTGTTAACCAAGAACTGAGAGAACTGCCACCCATAAGCGAATACAAATACAAGAATGTGTAGATATGATTATCTCAACTGTTCCCTCTCGAATTCAAAAGTTAAAAATACAAAAGGTAGAAAATTACATTTGAGGATCTGAGTAAATTGCACATTGAATCCAAGCATTTTTCATAATTGTGACAAAAATCCCATTCCTCAATTTGGACTTATATATAGGCTTGATCCACTAAGGATACATAATCCAACATCTCTCACTCACACTTGGTGGAGGAGATAATGTCAATCTTGTCTCTTTCTCTTTCCTCTCTTCATACAAGTTGTTTTGCCTTGATCGCATAGGCTTGACATCTTCATTTTGGGTGTTCGTACTAGGAATCCTATTAAGGACTAGCATAAATAACTCAAAAGTTGAATTTATTCTTAGTTGAATTCGTAACTTAATGTCCTAGATTTATCAATATACACTTTTCTTATTATGACTAATCTGATCCCTCTTGAGTCAGTTTAAGACTCAGATAGTCTCTCTTATATGCATAGTATCCACACTTATGAATCAACAAATTGTTTCATAAGGGACATATCTTGAATATGAACATAAACATGTATATTTAAGATAATCTTTTTTTTGCCCATATATCACTTTGATAGGAGACAATCGCTATCCTAACATGATACCTTTAGGTCACATCAATCATGACCATAGGATGTATGTTAAAGTAGCAGCCACTGTGACATATTTCCATAATAATGTCAAAGTGAAAGAATATCATTAAAAGGATTTTTCCTTTTTGGGACTCACACATCAATGAAGTAAGGATTTATTCACTTGCTTCCCATTGTGATTCTTAAGTACATGTGATATCAAACACATGTTATGGTGTTATCTT